TCTGAACAATGTAAATAGTGTAGAATACCTCATCTCAGAAATATAGACAGATCCTGAAGAAGGCCGCAGTGTACAATGGCCAAATTATGTGAATGCAACAGCAAAGATGCGGACAACAGTCTGAACAATGAAAATAGTGTAAATAATCTTGGATTACTTTTATTTTAATTTTCCAATATCTTTTATAATTGTGGTCTCGGATCATGGATGCCTTCTCAATAGGAATCCAAAGCTGGAAGATTTGAATTTTTCTTATAAGTCAGCAGCTTTCTATGTAGAGAAAAGTGATTCACACTATTTACATTAGGACTATTGTCCTCATCTTTTTTGTTGTTATCACAATGTTTTGACCGTTGTGCCATCTGGCTTTCATCACTTGTATATTGATCCAGGTAATTTATGGCAGTAGACCATTCTTTTTCCATTGCCCATGTCTAGGAACATCTCATCTAGTTCTTATTTTTAGTACAGTTTCCACTGTGTTGGCTCCAATCCAATGACTGCAAAAACATCCCACTCCCAAAATTTATGGAGAAATCATGCTGGGATTTCTTCCTAACCAATAAAATAGGCCACTTCTTAGTCTCATCTGCCATATTTCTGTTCTTTCTTATCTTGATGTCAGAACGCTGCCTGCTTTTGTGTGTTAACACCCATTCCCAATTGATGAATTTCTTTTGCCTTATTACTGTTGCTTTGCTTACTTTTGTCATATATATATATATATGAAGCAACTATATATATATATATATATATATATATATATAGTTTGCTTCATATTAATTTTTGCCCTGTTCTTTTCTTTCTTTTGTTATTGTTTATTGGAAACTTTAGTCAATTCCATTTGTTGGCCAATTAAATGTAACCATGGACAATTACTCTACACATTGAATTCAGGCACATACTGCCAGACCCATGGATTGAACTCACAATTATTATGTCACTAAATTCACAAACCAACAATGTAATTCACTAGGCTATTGTCATTCTTTGGTCTTTTAAAGTAGGTGCTGCTTTATTTTCTTTTTTTAGTTTGATGCACATAGGAAAGTAGGTAAGAGAAATGTATTGTTTTACTCCAAAAAGAAAAAAAAATTGGCAGATGGAGGTAAAGTCTAAAAAAAAGTATGAATTTGCTACTGATATGACTGTGTTTGAAAACAAAAAATATGTTGTATGCCCCCATCACCTTTTTTTCTTTTGCATTAAAAAATATTTAACACACTGTTAGTACTGGGGGGGGTGTTTAAATATCCCACAAAATGTTTTTATTTAATAAGTGAATGCCACTGACAGAAGAAAAAACTATTTATATAATAAAAAAAGACAATGTTGGAATTGTGTAAAAATTATTTATAATAAAAAAGTATGAAAAACTAAGATAAAATTAGAAAGTTACTAACACAGTTTGTTCACAAAAAAAAAGCCAAAATGAAGCTGGTCAGTTTATGAATAAAATCTATTAGCAAAATTTGAAAAAAAAAAAAAAAAAGTTTGATTTTGTCAAAAAATTCCCAAATTAAAGTTTGCAAATAGGCATGGTTTGACAAGCTCACTTTTGTCATTACCAACATGACCACCACTCTTGCTGTCACTACCATGATCTCAGTCAATCAAATGTAATGGCAACCAGATTCATCACTTCACCTGACTCTTCTTCACATACAAATTGTGACATCTCACGATGTCACCACCATGATTTCTAACACCTCAACCAGGGGAGGTGGGTGCACTATCACACTCCAGGCCTCTCTAGTCATCACCACCATGACCCTCTTTGATTTCCCATTCAACCTGCATTACCAACAAGATCCTTATACCTAATAACTCCCTTTACCAATGACAACTAAAGAACCACATATCAACAATTTTGCTACCTTTTCACACAATTATATATTCTGAAAATTGGTCAATACACGTTGTTGAAATTTAATACTTGTTTGTTCATTCCTTTGCAACTATGCGCTCATTATAACACACAGAAAAAAAAAACTACACTTAATATTTTTAAAACAAATTACTTGTAATTTTTCAGTATGATTTTGAAATTCATTCCATTGCTGTTCATAATTTTTTTTCATTAAATGAAGACATGTTTGAAGAATTGAAAAATGTCAAGTTTAATACCATTTTTGAGTGTGAACCTTTTTTTTAAAGGGATTTTAATTTTTTTTTTTATTTGAGCAACTTTTAGATTATTTTTGGTAAATGCTCAAAAAGGAAGTAATTCTGAATTACTACCTTTGATTGAATTACTTACTAAGTTTCATAAAAGTGTAGGATAAAAAATTATATTCTTAAAACAATTGGTTATATAAGTTAAAGATAAATTATTTTCAAACATAAATACCAATTTCTTCATTATTGCACTACTGGTGTTTCGTATTTCGCCCGCTTTTTAAGAACGGGCTACAGTAGAAAGTTATCATTGTTGACCTCACAAGTTACCGTATGTAAATAAAACGTTATTTTTATTATGTAAGCAAAACGTAAGCTAAGCATTACGTTTACAAACTCGAGTTAATCAATGCTTAAAGTGATGTCGAAATGTATCTGTAGAACAAATATTGGATGTTTAAAGTGGTTTTATGTTTACATTTTTCGTCCAATAATTTTTTGGAGGGTAACGCTTTCTTGCTTTTACATGCCAGTACCCAAAGTAAGATCACATACCTTCCAATGTCGATACACACTGAAAAAAACAGTAAACGAGAAAATGCTTTTCTTCGTTTTAATTATTTTATCTTCTTCATAGGAACTTTAAATAAGTAATGCTGTAATACTTATTGGAAAAAATATTTTTGTGATTTTGTTTACTAAAAACAGTGTCACCATTTTTTTTAAGTCTATGGTAGCCCAAACGTGCAACGCTCCAAATAAAATCAAACACATTATTAAAATCTAGCGGGATAAAAATATTTTTATCATTTTCGATCTCCTGTATAATATCCACATCACGATACTGCTGCTGTCAACAATAACGAAGACATGTGGTGTTTTTGTTTTGTTTTCATTTCGAGCTTTTAGAACTTAGTCCATTTTTATAGCATTTTTATTTATGTTTTTCTGATCAAAAAATACTACAGAATAATAATAATGCAATGCAGACTCTTCAATAATTTGGTTTGGTTGGATGGATGTATTGTAACTTTTTTCTTTGTTTTTTTTTTGACAATATTTTTTATTGATTTATTTTCTTGATCTTTAACTGTTTTTTTTTATTATCAAGAAAAATAGATAAACTATGAAATTGAAATTTATTTAAGTAATGTTAAATTGTTCCATATAATGAAAATAAAATAATTTGTGTCTTCCGAACAAATTAAAAAAATATGTACAACTAGTAGTAAAAAAAAAAAATTAACCAAAAAAAAAAAAAAAAAGAAAAGAAAATCAACAAGTAAAGTACTTGTTAAAAATGTTAAGTACATCAAACCCCAAAGTAAAATAACAGTTATAACTAAACAAATTAAGATGACTAATAAAAAAAATAAAAAATACGAAGAATAATCTTTTTTGTATAAACTTCGAATCATTTAAAGTAAACAAAAATCATATTTTGGCAGACTTTTAAAAACATTTATTTATGAATTTATGTATTTAAAAAAAAAAATGATTATATTTTTAATTTTAACAAATACGTAAGCATTTTTTTTTTTTTTGGTTTAGGACTTAGAAACCAAAAAAATTGCTTAAAAACCTAAACTTAAAATATCACTTTAACAGTTTTAACTTAAACTTAATTTTTAGCTTAACTTTAAACCTAATAATAAACAAACTGCTTAAATCGAAACCTAATAATAAACTGCTTAAGCCTAATTGAAACCTAATAATAAACTGCTTAAACGAAACCTAATAATAAACAGAAACTGTTTTCAAACCTACAGGTTATATTGAAAATTAACTACACTCGTTTTTCAAGATTAAAAAGAAAACAAACAGAAAAGTTACAATTGGGAAACTATTAAATAATCAAATTTTAAAAACTAGAAGAAACCTTTTAGTCACTGTATTTATTTTACGCATTACTTACACTTTCATTACCAACAAATCACACATGACAAAATGACCATGGAGATTTAAAGACCTTTGTTGACATCCCAAGAACTAGTTTCGTTCTGAATTTAGTCAAGTGGCAAAAAAGAATTGTTTATTTACATTTTCTTGTCAAAAACAAAAAAGGAAGTTTCCTGTTTCCAAACGTTTTTTATTTTTCTTTCTTTTCCAATACTTGTTGGCCTGGCCATAAAACAAAAAATTAATTTTGTTTTTTTAATTACCACATTTTTAATAAACCACTTTTTTTTTCTTTTTTTTATTATTATCTTTTTATTGTATTTTATTTTTTATTTGTATTATTTTTCTCACCAATTTCTTCTGATTTACTCTCTACACAATAACAAGTCTTTTTACCTGAGACGTGGTGAAGTAAATGAAAGTTTCACTTAGAAAGGTGTTGTTGATTGAGATTTGAGGAGAGTTTTCCCCGAGTATATGAGATGTGCTTATCTCAGATAATGATAGGTTTCCCCTGAGAGATTCAGTACCACCTGGAATAGTGATGGAGTTGGGTTTTTTTTTTTATTATTCATTATTTTATGATAGAATGTTAGTTACACTGTTGAGAGAACTTTAAAAAATGTACTTTTGGATAAGAAAAACAATTTAAAAAAGTACTACTTTTTTAAACTAATGATTTAAATGTAATTCATTCAATTAGAGATGTATTGTAATTGTAATTAATGTTGCATGGTTCATTAACAAACTAGGTAATTGCAATTATCTGAATAAGTGTTGTTTAAAATGATTGATCAGGATCGATATTACTAAGTTACCTAACAGGTGAACTTTCGAATGAAATTATTGATTTTTCTGAATTAAACTTTGCATTATTAACAGCTTTTTTTGACATACAAATAATAGACACACACAAAGACAAAAAACCTACTAAAAAAATACTTAAAAAAAAATACTTTTAAAAAAAAAAAAGGGCAACTTACTTTATTTTCTCCAAGTCTCCAATTTTACAGCTGGTAAACAATTCCTGGAGATCCATAATTGTGCAAATAAGTGTGTCTCTTTTTCAAAGATAAAAAACACTTGTTGGGGAAATTAACGAACCAAGTTGTGGACAAGTTAGAGACTATATCACTATATACTGCACTTCAGCTCTCTCGTACAGAGGATATTTGTCTTAAATCCCTTAGGAGGACCCTCCACAGCAAATATTGCAGAAGTTGTAAGTACTTCTCTTGAAAAGTACAAGAACAACGTGAATCACAAATAAAGAAAAGATTTAATTTACTTAATCAGCTAAAATAGCTTCGTGATGATGTAGATGCGAGTATAAATGTGGCAATTTACTGTAACGAAAGACATTGTCCGTGGAAGTAGAACTGATAAAAATTGTAGGGTGAGAAGTTGTGACCCATAACAACAGTGGGAGAACTGTTGAACCCGTTTTTGCGCGATAATTGGTACTTGTGGTAGTCGTATACATTTAGTACTACTCTGCTTCACTCTTACTAAAGTTTCGATATGGTGCTTAAAAATAAAAATTGGTATTATTTAGTGGTACTGAAATACAGACAGGCTAGGTATGTTTGGTAGTCAATAATTGTATCAAATATTATATTTCACTTCCTGATGGAAACGTTAACAAGAAATATAGCAATGTGTTTTTAAAAAATAATCCAAAAGAAGTACTCACTTCTTAAATAGTTGCTTGTTTAAAAGAAAATGTCTATGAGGTTAAAGAATAACAACATAGATAAAATTAAATTTTGGATTGTAAATTAAAATGAGAAGCAGGTTAGACTAATATACGTAATAAAACCAAATTAAGTATTGTATTTTTCTACTTTTTTTTTTTTTTTTTTTAACTCAATACAGAGCAATTATTCGCGAGAGTTTTTTTTTACCTTTGCTTTTTCCGGGAAAATTACCAAGTAGAATTTTAAATTCTCCGTACTAAAAAGTAATAACAAAAGATAAGCAGAATAACAACTAAACAAATTACAGTTTGTTAAAGACGTTAAAAAACGTTTGCAAATCGTTTTTATGATTCAAAATAAAACGACCTTTCTCTGTAATTTGATTGCTTTCTCGATGGAGTGAAAAAACCCAACAACATCGATAAACTAAGAATTCATTCTGTTCTAAACACGATTTAAATATCTCAAGAGAGCAAACGGGTTATAGCAGAAATACTGCAAGTAGCAGCAATCCACAAACCTTTACAGAATGTCCTTAAAAACCCGAAACAATCGTTTTTTAGAATAACCAACACTTGTTGTTAATGCAGTTTCTCTTTGTTGTTGAAATAACAATTTGTTTTTAACAATGTTTACAATTTCCGTGACACATTTGAGAGTTATCTCCCCCTGATCAATTTACGTCACTTTCTCAACTCACAACTGACTTCTTAATTATTGGCCAGTAACTGAATTATATTCGGGTGGACTTGCCAGAGAAAATCGACACTACGTAAAATTAATTTTTTTCTTTTTTTTTTGCAAACACATTTTTAACCTAAAAGATAAAATGACAAAAAGAAATTTTATGACCGTTCAATTATGACAAGAAAAATATAAAATTTTTAAGTACCAATATAAAGAATAAAAAAGGTCCATTTTCTTTGATTTTTAAAGAAAAAACGATCTCAGATTTTTAATTTCATATCATTCTTTCTGTCACTATTTATTTTTAATAATTTTAAAATATCCTATTCAAAAATTACAATAAATAATTTCCATGTAAAAGTAAAACTGAATAAATAAGAAGATGAATATTCAGTGGATTAAGTGCATTGACAAAGGAGATTATGTTTAAAAATAAATATTTGCTTTGTAAAATAAATGCCTTTTTTATGATTAAGCTGCAAACTTATTGATGTTCATACATAGGATGAATATTTGACAGATTCACCACTGGATTAAGTGCATTAACAAAGGAGATTATGTTGAAAATAAATATTTGTTTTGCAAAAATATAAATGTTTTATTTTCATCCTTACACTACAGACTGGTTATTGATGTATTTATCATATAGAGCTGAGACGTCTGCATAAAAATAAGTTTATTCTTTCATAAATGTTTCCATTTTTATTATTAAGTTCCTTAAGACTTATTGAGGTATCTATGTAATTATCATATAGCACTGAGAAGCCAATGTAAAAATGTTTTTATTCTTTCATATTCATATATCTTAGACTCTCACTGTAGATTTAGAAGGTAGATGGTGTATACACAAAAACTGCTTAGAAGGGCACAAAATATCAAATGATGTCAGCACATCAGAAATGCAAACCTCTTTGGTGATCTACCAAAAATAACAACCACCATTGCAGGGAGAATGGTATGGCTCTCAGGATACTTAGGAAGGAGGAAATTACCCACAAAGTCATACTGTGGAATCTTTTTCATAATGGATGCACAGCCTGAACATAGATCCAGAGCTGGTGCATACTACTCCCCAAACCGGCAAACATTTGCTTATATTTCTACCTACATTTGTATATGTTACAAAGGAAACTAAACACAACTGATTACTAAAGGATGAAAAATTCTTTGGATTTTGATGTTATTCTGGATTCTTTTTTTGGGCCAAGTCATGATTTTTTTTCTTATGCTAAATCTCAAAGAAAAACCAAAATTCACTATTTTTTATCCATAATGTTGAACATGTTAAAAAATTCAACTTTTTAACAAGAAAAATCTCAGATTGATGATAAAAATTGCCGCAAAACATTGTTGATTTCTTTAAGATGAAATGATCTATTATGACATGTCCCTAATTTGTATTTAGATACATTGTATTTATTTTCAATTTTCCGAGTTGAATTGTACACTAACATTACATATGATCCATTATTGTACATAATTAGGTGACAATAAAATGTGTATTTTATATGAATACTACCTTATAAAAATTGAGATGTAGTAGAATGGGGGAGGGGGCTCATATCATAGATGTGGGGAGCTGTACCATGTAGAGCATGTCCCTGCATACATTGACCAACTAATTGCAGATACAAAACTGAGAATAGACCAGCTACCAAAAGCTATGACAGATTGGGAATTATGGAGTAGATTTGTGATAAATATTTGAGCATGATCAACAATGAGATGAGATGATTTATAAATACAAATGTTTCTTTTTTTATTATAAAGCTAAAAACTTCTTGATGTACCTATGTAATTAGCATATAGTGCTGAAAAGGCTGCATAAAAATATCTGCTTTTATTCTTTCATACTTATAAAAAATGGTTTCTGTTTTTATGTCAGTTTAACTGGAAAGAAACAATGCAGTTATGAAGAAAAAGATTTAAAATTAATGCATGCAAGATTTCACAGCTGTAGCAACACTCCTTCAAAGAGAGCCTATGAACTTTTCAGCCCACCCTCATCATCAGCATATAGAGCTGAGAAGGTTGCATAAAAATATCTGTTTTTATTCTTTTATATTTATAAAAATAAATGTTTGTTTTTCATCATTAAGCTATAGATATATTGATGTACCAATATAGTTAGCTTATAGTTCTAAAAAGCCTGTATAAAAATAACTATATTTAGTCATTCATATTGATAAATACAAATTTATTCACCTAAAATTGTGCATCTTTATAGCATGAATTACAATTAACTTCTGATCAAGAACCTTTTCAAATAAAAAAAGTTTCTACTCAAAGCATAAAATTTTTTATATTAAAGTAAAGGGTAATAATTATTTGAATTGTAATGCATTATAGTTTGCATTCTATAAATATTTTCTTGAAAAAAAGTATTTACCAAACTTTCTGTACTGCTGATAAGAATCATTATCATTTCAAAAACTGTTTGAACTGTTGAACTCATTTATTCTGTTGAATGTGTTAATACCACTACATTTCAGCCAATTCATTCTATAGCCTTCTTTAGGTGTGCAGTCCCTAAGAAGAAAGTGGATGTCTCTTTTTCTATTATTTATTTACATAAAACTAAAGAAAATGTAGCCTGCAAGCAATATGCTTGGTTGAAGGTACTGATCTTCATATTACGTAACACTAACTTTGAGAAACACAGTCAATGACTCAAATAATTTACCACAATACCATGCTCATAACACAATTTCTATATCACAGATTTTAATTAAATTAGTAATTAATCGCATATGTTCAGGTAAGTGACTTGTTAAGAGATCTAGAAATTAAATTCTTAAAATGAAATAAAAAATATATAAATTGTTAAACAAGGTAGAAAACAAATTTGTCCAAAAGAATAATGTGAAGTTTTGATGCAAGAAACATTCGACAAAAGGGTTTTTAATCTCTCTGTACCAAATGTTATGAAAACAGCTTACAATGAACATTATTTTCTGTTAGAGAGAGGGAAAGGGCTAAGTATGCTCAACCAAAAAAATACCATATCCTTTTAGAATGTAGGCAATAACAACTCCTCTTTTCTTTATTATCTGTGAATTCTCATTGCATTCTTGGGAAGTGTTATAAACGCATGTATAGTAGCATGAGAGAACAAACAAAACAAGTACTGCTGGTGAGACAAAAATTAAAGACATGAATTATTCAGATATAATTCTTTATATTGCCGATACAGAAGATATGAGTGAAATGTCTTGGACTGTGACTTGGAGGGAGAGAATTGATAAGATCTGTAGTTGATACATGTGTCAGATTGATTGACTGAGTTCACTGCTGGTAACGCTGACAATTTGCCCATTTGCAACAATTGTTTCCATATTTTATATTGTATTTTATATTTTTTGGAGGAAATTTCTCCTGTGAGATGGATGTAATGCCCATAACTCCTGTGCAGAGAGTAACTTTTTTATTTTTATTTTTGCTTTCTTAGTGTTTACATACGGCCAACATGTAGAGTGAATCAGAAAGAGAAATAATTTGAAGCAGAGTATAACAGAAAGATAGTGGAGTGATTTCTCTTTCTTATATTTGAGAGATTGAAGTGTAAAATCATTTCTTGTTTTCATGATTTTTATCTGCTATTAATTTCAAGATGCTACTTAACTCCTCTCACTCCAAGATATCAGCACATGACATC